GTCAATGCTACGAGTATATTACTTTTTGCGGGAAAATGTTCTTAATCAAACCCAACGAATTTACACAATTACTTACATCCTCTCTGTTGAAATAACGATAAGGGTTAGGGTCTAATATCTCAATCAATCTCCACAGTTGTATTTTTTGTTGATTTAACTGTTGCTGTAATTATTGTTAATTTTCATTAATTTGACTGATTAGAGGAACCCTGTAAAATTCATTTTGCTGTTATATAATTTAGTAGTTGAATTAAAATCCCTGTTTACCCTAATGATGCATTTTCCAAGCTCTGAATTTCAATTTTATAGATTTGAAATTCATCGATTTGAATGGTTTGCATTTCTAATTTGAAGAAATTCGAGCTTTGCCTTACCCACTGAAGTTTTTTCAATTGGGTGGAACTATGAGGCAAAGACAGAGTGTTGCTGTCTCACCATCAGCAGAATCAGGCAAAACCGAAAACCCAGTTCCGTCGAAATTAGGTCCACAACAAAAAGAAGCCTCAAAACTTGGCGTTCTAGGCTCCTCCAAGAAAGTTTTTGTACCCTGCTTGGCCTTTCAAATAGCAAATGCTCTGTTGATTCAGACCTATTTTAACCCTGATGAACACTGGCAAGCCCTTGAAGTTGCGCATCGCATAACTTTCGGGTACCCACTAATTTCACCTTTCTTTTACTAGGTAAAGGGTGAAGATTCTTGATTTAAAAGGGTAAGTACAATATAAATTGTTGTGCAAATGACAGGTATGGCCATTTGGCGTGGGAGTGGAGAAGGGGGATTCGTAGCTATTTGCATCCATTTCTCTTTGCTTTCCTTTACAAAGCGATTGCCATGATGGGTCTTGATACCCCATGGTTCATGGTAATGGCTTTTACAACATTAGACATTTTATGTTATATATATTTGTATGTAAGGAAGAACGGTTTCCTATGAACTGTATGTTAAGCTGAGTTGTGGAGCTAAAAGTTCTTACTTGTTACTAGTTAAGAAATGACTATTGGAAACAACAACAAGGGGTCAGTTGTATGAATGCTAGAACGCCACTGCGCTTAGTGTTGCACCAAGTTTGGAAAGATGCGTCACTTGAGAAAATAATCTTATTCTGATTTTAAATATTCATTGTTGCTCATAGAAGCTATTATGAAATGCTATCATCAAGTGATTCAGAAAACTTAAATAAGATTTTTCAGTTGCATTGGTATTTCTTCTAGTAAGGTTTCCCTTGATTTCCTTCTGCTTAACTGCACCCTCAAATGGCACCACACTTCTGCTGCACCACACTTCGGCTGTTTCAGTCCTTTTTTGCTGCATTTGGTGATTTATACTTGTATAAGCTCTCTGTCATCATCTTTGGTGACTGCGTTGCTAAATGGGCTGTATCCTTCTGTAGGAGGGGTTCTTTACTTCTGTAATGATAATATTTCATGTCTAACACTATGTTTATTTTAAATAGTGAATTTCAATTACTATTACCGGCTGAAAACACTATTGTAAACATCAGGCTCTTTCTGGTAAAGTATGTACTTAACTCAATTCCAGCTGTTTTCACAATTGACAAATCGGTTTATGTTTTACTGTATCACACGTACATTTTCAAATAGTTTGGAGACTGTTCTTACCCTTGTGAGCCTGTACTACTGGCCCTGTATAAGGCCTTCTTCCAGCAAACTTCCCTTGGAATCAAGGAAGTGGGGTTTGATTATTGCCGCATTAGCTTGTGCTATCAGACCAACGATTGCTATCATATGGCTGTATGTTGGCCTTCTTGAGCTATTTTTGACACGTGATAAACTGAGATTCATTTTTCTGGAAGTGGCTCCCATGGGGTAGGTATAGCCAATCTCCCTCGGAATACATTTCCATAGTGCTTAAAATTATTAGGAACTTTATCGTGAATTGTTTGTGCTTCTGAATTATATCATAGGTTATTCCCATAATGATATTTGTCCTGTTTGTTTTCTCTTTTATTTCGGCAGTGGACTTGTAATTTTTAATGGTAACATGGAGTTATAGTTGATGAGTGTGCAATGATGCGATTGGGATAGATGCAAACGAAGAGAAACTTGTTGTCGCACCAATTGGTCCTTGAATAAAAGAAGCGGCAGCTATAGGGTTATTGATGATTAATGAAATGTGATATGCAAGTGATAAAGGTGATGAAGACAGTAATGATACTTCGAAGTGTCTGTCATTTAAAACCAGTCTGGCCTTATATAATTCTCGAAATGAGTTTTTACCTGATTATGTAAATAATTTGGTAAATCATGTCTTATTTTCGTTTTAGTAGTCCCCGTGTTTTAAGTTAAGCAACATCTAGGAAAGATGGCAGCACCACTTCAAGGTGTGACAAAAAATCTTAATGAATTGTCTAAGCCCTTATGGAACCAGTCCATGCATTCATGTCAATTATGTGTAGCTTTGCATAATTGTATTGACATTATAATCGTTCTCTTTACTTTCTTTGTACCTCTTAATTTTCTAAGATTCAATTTTCTTTCTGCTGGTGGAGACTATTATGGGACTCACAAGTGGTACTGGTACTTCATTCAAGGATTTACAGTCATGATATTCTCTTTCTTACCATTTTCTGTTGCTGGAATCATGCAATCCAAACATTGGAAGCTTTCTGGCCTTATTTCATGGGTTTGAGGACTTTATAGTGTGCTAGGCCACAAAGAATTCAGGTACCTCTTCTATTATTTATACAATTAAAATGGTTCTTTGATCGTTCATTCTGTTTACAACTAATACTCTTCTAATTTGACTTTTGAGTTACAGGTTTGTTCTGCCCGTACTTCCTATAGCTTTGATGTTCTCTGGGCATTCCTTAGCTGCATTAAGAACATCGGTTTCTGCAAATGGTAAAGGAAAAGAACCATTGAATATCAATAACAAATGCCCTGCAAAAATGCAGTTGGCCATCTTTTTCTTGCTCGCTACCAATATTCCAATGGCCCTGTATATGAGTTTGGTTCATCAGGTACTCATTTTGCCTTCTGATGAACACAAGGGCTGGGTAACTTTTATTGTTCTTTGGCATGTACTCAACTTTAAATGCTGGACTCTACTACTATCTCGAATGTTTTTATTTAAGTTGTGTCCCTATTCCTCTTCCATCTTTCCTTTTCGATAACACTTTTGAACATGCCTAGACAGAGAGGAACCGAGGATGTTACATACTATTGATGCCTTGCCACGCTACACCTTACTACTCTACAGTTCACCGTGAGATTCCTAGACTGCTCACCAAGGTTTGATCTTTAACTACTCGGAAAGAATTATTTTCTTTGTTGCCGCTCTTCATGCAAATGGTTTTGTAACTTGTACACTGTTGGAAATTTTGTCGACAGTGAAGAAAAAGGAATCCTAGATGAATCAGACCGATGGATCCTGTTGGTTTTACGTCAGAACTTGCAAGGAATTGGTCTTTACCTAGTCACATTGTATTATTTGATTCGGAAGAAAAACAGTTGAGGGATTTTCTGATCTCACATTCTTTCAGAGAGGTGCATGCTACAACTCATAGTTTTACTGCTGCAGTGTTGCATTTATGCCAAATAAAAGAGTTACTTCTTAAATTGCTTGCCATGCTAGCACTGAAACTTATATCTGGCCTATGATGACAGATAGAAAGGTTTTTCCATGCTCACTTCAAAGTGGACCGCGATCTTCAAGTGTCAGTTATTGTGTATGGTTTGACAGGCGACTGATTATTGTTTATGAAACTATTATAACTCCAGCTGGAAGAAGTTATTGACTTTAGGTCTTGATGAATGGAGTGGATTGCCAGAGCTTGGGGTTATTGGAGACTCTGCTTGCCTCAGTAGATTCCAACTTCAGATCGTCAATTAGTATGTAACAATTTTTTCCATTCATTAATCCCGGATTTTATTAATTATTTTGTTTCCATTGTTTTTTCTGCGTTTTTGTTTGATACATCTACTTGACACTACATTTCATTTTGCCATCGAGTTGATAAAAGGACCTAATATGTTGAACACAGAGTCCTTAAGAATTTGCTAGCAATTATATAAAGATGGATGTTCAGCCTTTTACAGATTATTGAACATATATTTGTTAGTTTCTACTGAGAAAAAAAGAACTGCGGATAGCAATTATGATATAGAAAGACAATGGTAAAAGAAAAAGACATTGACACAATTCCGACATCTTGAGCTTAAAAGCTCTAACAATTCCCAAATGAGAGGAACACGTTCATACAATCTCCTTTTTCATCAGTATCACTACTCCAAATGATGCCCTGTAATTTCAAAAGTTCTATGGTGGTCCAGAATATTGTATACTTTATGTTTTTTAACCATTAGATCTTGGTTTTTGAATTTTGACCACACATCCAATGGTTATAAAAGCATGTCATTATAAAAGCACGTCGAAGGATGTTGATGCACAAAATTAGTGAGACTTTGGAACAACGTAAAGTGTTAAGTTTGTGAACTTCACATAGTAGGAGCGGTCATTAAGTGTTGGTGAATATGTTGAAAGATAAAGATGGGGAAGCAAACACAAGATGTACGTGGTTCACTTTAAGTTGGCCACGTCCACAAGGTGGAAGAGTTCTCATTAATAGTGAAGAGTTGACACAATACATAGGTTCAAGAAAAATCATCATAGTGAGTTCTAATAACGAGTTTAAGTATAATAATCGCATTAGGGATTAAGTGTAGGAGAATGGTATCCCTTGATAGTTGATGAGAGTCTTCAGCTTCCATCCACGAGTCATTTGGTTATATCTTTTGCAAGTGTTAAGACTGATATTAGCGATGTGGTCTAAAAATGTCGAACGGTTGTGTTGTTGTAGTACATAAGCTTCTGTATTCCTATAGTAATTACTTGTCTCGCTTTTTTCCCTCTCTGTTTTGGTTAATGATTAATGAGAGTTAACATAATTGCTGTTCATCCTTTCCATCTCTTTATTTGTTGTCACATTGTTGTTATGCTTTGAGATTATCCATTAGGTTCTTCAGCAGAAATGATTGTGTTAAAGCAGGAATGGTGAATTGATTTATAGTTACAAAAGTACAGGGAAAATATGCACATAGGTGCAGCAACACAATGATCTTTGTCATAGATGATATTTGTAAATGATCATCGAACACTAGTTCTTGTAGTATTGAAGATGGTATTTCGTAAACGAAGTAGAGACCAAGAGCATATGGTTAATGGTCGTCGCCCATGCCTTGTACCGCTGATAGTCGGCTTCCATGTCCAGCTTGAACATCCCCTTACTCGTCGTTAACACGATGAGATAACCTGTACCATTCTCACCGGCTTCTGAATCTTTATACAGCTCCGCATGCATGTCCAGTATGATACCTGAGACAACACAAAACAGCTCCACTGATTAGATTGTAGCGATAAAGTTGAGCTTGTTTATGAAATTTTTCATTTACTCAACGTACATTCCTTCTTGCTTTTCAACAGACCGAGCTTCCTCATTTGAACAAGAACCTGTGTAGTTGAATTAAGAATTGAAGGTTAAGCTCCAATTAATGCTTTAGTTGACAAAAATGGCAGAAAACATTTTAAACATGCAGACCTTGGCTTCATTGTTGAGGATGACAGACACCGATCTAACTGTGTACTTCCCTAAAAACACATAATTTGCAATTTCAATTAGCGCCCAGATGAGTAAAACAACATAGAAAATCAGGAATTCGAAACCGAAATCCAGGCTCATTCGAGAGTCGGAGAATCAGGATTGCAGTAAAATTACATATTTCAATTGCTGAAAAGATCACTTTCAGTATTTGATCGACATGTCATCAATGTTTGATTATGTCGAGAGTTAAATCATTTCAGCAATTGGGTTTTAGAAACTCGTCGTTTTGGTCAATTTCTTGAAAGAAATGGTTAAATTAATGAAGATCTAAAGTAGAAGTACAGACCGTCTGGTGTTTCAGTGGTGAGCTGGGCACCTGTTGCAAGCATTGATCTATACTTCTCAAAGTCGAAATCAACCTCCTCAGGGTTATCCTCGACAGGCATCACAGGTGCAGTCCCATTTAGTCTTTTGTTGCAGCATCCTGTTCTTTCTTTCAATGTCGCTGCTCCCTTCAATGCTATATTTCAAACACCACCAATGGAAAAATAAAGACCCAGAAAAAAGTTTGAGGAAAATACTGTTAATCGTTAAAAATCTTGAGTATCAGAGACTCAGAGCATCATAGAAAATCCCTTATTATTCGTATTGGTTTGAATATTTAATTCCTTCATTGTTGGATTAGGTATGAATGGTTGAGATGTACTTTTTGTGTCCATCTTTAACCGTTCATATGTAGTACTAGATGAGCTGTGCTACTGCCAGTAGTACATTTCTAACATTTGATGTATGTGGGGCCTACAATTCATCGCTCTTCAGGATTCACACGCATTAACCGTATCAATACCCAGATTACACAAGGCACCACCACATATAGCTCATTTATGTTTTAAACCAAGTTAGGGAACAAAGATAAGGGATATAGGATATTTACACGTTGTAGCTGCAGCTGTTAGAGTTAAGATGTCACTTGCACTTGTGCTATTCATGGCTGAACCTATTACACTGCTAAGCTGCTCCTTTGTTGCCCCCATTGCTTCTGCAACTTTTGCACACTGGGCCGCCACCAGTGCGGCTGCAGAAGCGACTGCAGCTTCCTTGGCAGTGCTTGACTCATCATTTTCTGATTTTTCAGCTGCAATAGCAGCAAGCGCAGCCGCTACCCCCGCCATTGATATTGCTGCATGGACTTCAGCTCTTTGCAGCCTGTGCTCCTCTTTCCGCCTTCGCTTAATGTCTTTAAGCCATTTCTTGATCGACATATTCTTAAATGGCACCATCTTCCATGACATCTGCATAACAGAAGAATGTATGAGCAACGTAATAGAGTGATACCTCCAATTTTTATACACGTATAGAAAAATGCAGTATATTACAACGTAGGAACCAATTCTACGTACCCATTTCTTCCGTAAAAAGCCGTTGTAGTTCAATTCTGGATGCATAGCTTGTTGCATCCATATAAACGACTAAAGAAAACAAAACTACAGTATGTTATCAACAAAATTGGTTTTAAGATATTCAATTAGCTGAGATGTATTTATATGCATCGTATATGTGTTTCACCTTCACATCATTGTATTTCCATGGTGGTGGAGGCTTGAGATCTGCATCATCCATCTTGTCTAGCTTCTGAGAGAGTTATAAAATCAATCTTGTAAACTTTCTTATGGTCTGACAAAATAAAAAACTAAAAGTGCGACGAATTCGACTTACAGTGTAAGGACTCTTGTTGTGGTTCTCAAACTTCACAATTGGATCGTCGAGTAGAACCACGGATCGATCTTGTTGGTCTGGTTGAAAAGCTTGCACTGCAAACTTGCACCATGCAAGGGAAAGAAAATCCATTATCTCAGGATGCGACTCCGAAGGAGTTGGAGTAGTGAAATGTGAATCCATGCACTTCAGCAGCAAATGGGAGCTAAAAGGGTACTTCGGAGATGGAGTTTAACAGAATATGAGATTGGAACTACTCGGTGTCAAATAAGCATATAAATAGACAAGCAAAAATCACTGAATAAATCTTGTTCCCTCTCCACTCGCTTTGCACGCCCAAAAGCTTCCACCAAAAGATATTTGGACAGATGAGATATTACAGTTGGAAAGGTTGTTTAGATATGAATAATAATAAAATCTAGTTGCCAACAAAGGAACTATCTTGATGTCACAAGTTGTCATAAAAGCAAAAATTGGTGTAGTTAAGTTGGTTAAAACAATGCGTTCTAATTATAATATTACAGGGGTCGAACATGATTGCCTAACTCTTTATATTTTTTAAGCCAATGTACTCATTTTCTGCACTCGAGTTTGAATTCATTTGGAGAAAAACAGGTTTTGATCAGGGCACCCAAACATGTTTTTTTTTGGGGTTTTTTTGAAATGGGTCCAAAGTAACTAAAAATTGGACCTATTTCAAAAGTCAAAAGTCAGTAAAAATTAGACCTATTTTAAAATTTCCCTTTTTTTTATCTTTTTTTTTTTGAACAAACGATATTATCTGTACTAAGGGGGAACTTAGTCTCACAATGGGCAAGCAATAATTTGATCCAAATTCACCTTTCGTAAGAATCGAACTTAAGACCTCTCATTTACAAGTGAAGAAAAATATCACTAGAATGTAGTACTAAGTGGCAGGGTATCCAAACATGTTATGAGAGAGAACACATGCTAACCACTATGGAATCATAAAGAGAATCGATAGGGCCTTTTGTTTTGTACCTTTAAATGAAAACCATGAATGGCTAAGCATGAAGGAAATTAAGCTTGATGGAGCTGGCCGGACCACCACATCAAAGCCTCTAAAACTATAACAGCCTAGAATTAGAAAAGGAAGAGAGAGGCGCAACAACCCTCCAAGCATGCACTTAGTGGCTTGGGTCAGCTTTGACATGATTGATGTGAACATTTGATAAAAAGCAAGTAAACATTTAATCATTCTTTCATTAGAATAAGGATGTGCTTGATTAACTAATGGGCAATGAACTTAACAAAGATTAGCTTTTTAAAGCTAAAAAGGGTTATCAAAGTTAGCTAAGTGACTTTAATGGATGTGGTTTAGGTTTGAGAAATGATTATGGGGTCACCTTAATCGATTTTTGTCGAGGGGTACTCATGGACTTTTGAAGATTTGGTTAAAGCTGTGCTCATTAGGCTCATGTGACAACCAAATACTCATTAGGCTTAGATGCTTAATTATTACATGTTTGTTTAATGGGGGATTATAATTCGATTCCAATGTGAGTCCAGGGACAATGTACTGCTTCTTGATTAGTTGAAAGGAAGTGATTTCTATGTAGTTATACAAAATTGCTTCTAGATTAAATAAATGAAAGTAAAATTAAGGAATAAAAATTACCAAGGATACGCAGAAGGAGAAAATGATGTCAAAAAATTATTTCCTTAGTTAGGTCTTTTGTTTTTTAAATTATCAAGATCATTTCCTTAGTTTAGTTTAATAACATGATGCCAAATACCAGTTTGATATTTCTGACAAAAAAAAAAAAAAAAAAACACCCAGTTTGATATATACAGAAACAAGGTAATAGATATCAAGAAAAATTTAAAAAGGAATGGAAAATTTTAGCATTAGATTTGGATGCTTAGGCTGAGTTTAATTCTTGCATATAGAAATCGTCAATTACTCGCCCTTAGTTTTAATAGTAGTGTGAGTTTGATAGCGGTGAGTTTTATCTATTAGTTGTGTACCCATTTAATTTCCTCTAAACCATTGGTTATTGTCTTCACCTTCTAAAAGAATTGGCGATTTATTGTATAGATCATTGAATATAAGAATTTAAGAATTGGAATCACTCATGATTTTCAACCAAATTGAAGTTTGAATTCTATAAAATTAGAACCAAACTCAAACTTTCGGAGTACTGTGGATGACCTTAGTCCCTTCTTGATTAGATTTAGGTGCAAATATTAACGTATCTACCAACTTTACAAATGGTCATACTTTAATTTACTTGAAGCAGTCATTATAATCATTGAAAAGCAACCCGCATAACCGTTTACCCGTTAGGTAATTGTCTAAACCGTTATACTCATACCCATATGTGATAGCCCGTTCCGAAAATTTTTAAAACGTACGCGTGAAAAGACGATTTTGCCCCTAGTGTGATTTTTTTTCGTTGTGTGGTTGTTTTGAGTTTGGTGTGGTTGGTTGTGGACCACACACATTCCCCCACACATTTCCTTCACCCTTCCCTGTCCCTGCATCCTGTCCCGTCCCATTTCCCTTCCCATTTTCCCCTCCATTTGTACGGACATACCCCAAAACCCTTGTAATCTTCACAGATCGAAGAAACAAAGTATATATTCATGCTTGTGAGGTCCGTAGAAGTTCAACCATACCCATTTCAGGTAAGGATACCTTCGTTTTCACGTCGAACTCGGGATACTCGATTTTTGTCACTGTTCATGCACACGTAAATTCTTATGTTTTTGGGAATTTCAAGCTTGTAGGAAGCTTGGTGAGGTCCTTAGGAGGCTCGGGGTGGTTTGTTTGAAGGTTTTGGACGTCGGGATCGTGAGTTTCGAGGTTGGCCGGAGTTGGTGGTGTTTTCCTAGCGAGATTTCGTAGATTTTAGCACTTGAAAGTGGTATGAACTTGTTCCTCTCGTTGTAAGCTTCATTTTGGTACCAATTTTGTGAAATTTGGTTGAAAAACGAAGAAGATAGGACGATTTGAAGTTTTCCCGATTTTCCGGCGCTGACGACGGCGCCGGAGCCTCGCCGGAGAAGACGACGGAATATTCCGTTAGTTTGGACGGAATATTCCTAACGACGTTAACGAAATCCGTTAAAGTTAACGGAATATTCCTGATGGCGTTAACTGACGCCGTCAGCGTGCCAGGCACGTGCCTGCGCGTGGGGGCGCGTGCGACGGTGAAATTTTTTTCTAAAAATATGGGGATGTTCCTGAGGTTGAGTAGATCATGTTGGTGTATTCATACACCCCATTTGAGCATTGTATGAGAAGTTATTTTTTAAGGTTGGTTATGTGTTTTAAAATTAACGTTTTTGTAGTTGTTTCGCATATAGGTGGTACCTATCCCGAGGACGAGCGTGGTCACTCGAGGCAAGGGGGTAACGACCCTTCTACATACCAGTGAGTGGGCTTTTGGTTTTCCGTATATACCTATATACTTATACTTTTCCCAGAAATTGATTTGAAACGTTTATTCGTTTATATGCCATGCATTATATTGCCGTTTGTTTATGCATTGTTAGTTGCATATATATATATATATATATATATATGTTTGGTGCTGTGGACGCACAGGTAAGTGCCAGGTGAGTATGATTATGTTTATGTTCAGTAGTGTTTTGAGATGCATATAGAGAGCTCATAACCTGCACCCCCGGTGTTAGTGCTCCCGCCCAGAGTTGGGCATAGTCCTTCACGTGATGTTCACCTCCCGCACCACACGCTCATCTTGGATCCAAGTTAGGTGCACAGTCCTGTCGTACAGACCACTTTAGGTGGTTCCGACTCGTAGGTGACCCGCGATTATTCGCCCAGCCTTCACGTGATCGTAGCACTTGAGCGTACTTATATTACACCCAGGCTTGTCGTACAGACCACTTTAGGTGGTTCCGACTCGTGTGCAGGTCTAGTTAGTGAGACGGAGATTTGAGCTCTAGATTCAGCCGTACAGGTCACGTTAGGTGACTACGGCTGACAGCTTATATGACACTGATGTGATATTACCTGAGCACTTGCATTTTCTTCGAGGTTTTGGCATAGCATATTTCTGTGCATGACTTATATATATATATATATTCTATTTTCTGGGAAGTATACAGGTTTTACGGCGAGGGGTTAGAACTTGTTTATGTAATGGTTTTTGAAAAGCTTTATTTTTGCCCACTCACGGTTTTGTTTTGCGCCCCTCCAGGTTCTAGTTGGCTAGCACGTTTGTGGCTTCCCTGAGGATTTCCCCGGCATATCTGACAGACTACTACCAGTGTAGGACCACCTTCGGGTGTACTTTTGTCGTGTCGTTTTCTCCCGAACTGCATTAGGTTTTCGTGCTCTGAACCTTGTGTTCACACTTACGATTGCACATGTTCGTTATTACTTGGTGTAAAATCGGTTTTTTATTTATTCGTACTACTTTTATTATTATTTTATTAGCTTCCGCACTGTGCACATGGTTACGTCACTTCCACGTGACGGCCAGCATGCCCTGATCTCGATCGGGGTGTGTCACATAACTGTTTATAAACGGTTAACCATATCCATAACCGCGTGCTCATTTAACTGTAACCATATACCCGTTTACCCATTTATCTATTTTTAACCCATTTACCCCCCTTTTCGCCCATTTACATGTTTTTTTTTTTGAAACGTAACCGTATATGACACACCCCGACCGAGATCAGGGCATGTTGGTCGTCATGTAGAAGTGACGTAACCATGTGCACAGTGTGGAAGCTAATAAATAATAATAAAAGTACGAATAAATAAAAACCAAGCTATACACTGCGTAAATAACATACATGTGCAAGCGTAAGTGTGAAGAACAATGTTCCGAGCACGGAAAACCTAGTGCAGTCCGGAAGAAACAAACACTAAATAACACACCCAAAGGTGGTCCTACACTGGTGATAATCTGTCAGATAAGCCGGGAAATCCTCTGGGGAGCCACCAAAAGTGCTAGCCAAATTAGAACCTAGAGGGGCGCAAAACAGAAAATGTGAGTGGGCAAAAACAAAGCTTTTCAAAAATCATTTCATAAACAAAGTTCTGACCCCTCGCCGTAAAACCTGTATACATTCCAGAAAAATAGAATATATACATATATATAAGTCATGTCAGAAATATGCCATGTCGAATGCATCTAAACAAAATGCAAGTACTCAGGTAATGCCAATCAATGCCATGTAATCTGTCAGCCGGAGTCACCTAACGTGACCTGTACGACTGAATCTAGAGCTCAAATCTCCAACTCACTAACTACACCTGCACACGAGTTGGAACCACCTAAAGTGGTATGTACGACAGG